CGGTATATGGGATGTAATATGTAACACAAATGAAAGATCCAACGGGCATGAGTTTATTACTATCACCAACTCCGACGCTTCTCCTTATCCGTATCCGTACAGAACTATATAAAGCCATTCTTCCACGCTATTGTTGACGCTCACCTAGAAAGTCAAAAGGTCCAGTGAACAGCAGGCTTTCCATCCCCGGATCAACCTCAAGGTCTGCTAATATGTTGGTCATCCATGTATCATCTGATTCACCTGTTATTTGAAGACTTGGAACCAAGCCAGGATCTTGAAAAGACGATGGGGTGAGTCCAATATCTCCGGTGAATGGGTTTGAAGGGGATGTCTCGGTAGATCCGAAAAGACTCCCGACTTCAGGCGATTCGACAGGGCCGCATCGCTCAAGGTACCATCTCTCAATACGCCGAGCTCTTCTCGCAAGACCAAAGTATGGATCTGATTCACCATCCCCTGGATTCGAGTTTGAAGCTGATTCCATGCGGAGGACGATTTGACGAAGGGTGTGAGGCATGTCGAGAATACGTCGAAGATGGCCGGCAGTTTGTGCGTTTTCGGGTTGTGCTGCTACAAGGTCTAGTCGTACTGACAGAGAGACTGCGCAGTATAGCATGATCCAGCCGATGTTGGGCATCGTGTCTTCGTCGCCTTGTGGGAGGAGGAGAATGACGCTTATGAGGGACTTTGCAGCAGACATGCTTTGTGAGAGCCAGTCGAGAAGTCGGCTTTGGTCTGCACCTTGCTGAAGACTTTGGAAACCGTTTAGGCCATATGAGATGCCATCCGGTGAGGGCTGACAAATAAGGAGGTCGAGGACGTGCAACTGCAGAAGAATTGTGGCTAGGCGTGTCAGTTAAGACTTTTCAGCTCTGGTGGGAAGGGGCACTTACGACTCTCACTAAGCGGAAACGGCAAGGATGATTTTGTTGACGTATATCGCTCTCTGATTCTATGTAGCTCGGCAGGCAACTTGTCTTGCCTTGCCCCTCGTATTGCTCCTGTGGCTTCAATGACTGCATCATCAACCTCTTCAGTAAGCTTCTGAAGATATATGATGTATGGAAGATGTCTGTCAGAAGGAGCAGTCCCCCCGGATAAGAGGCTGTGACAGCATTCGAGAATGAATGGGGAATATCGAAAGTGATGCGATTTTTGCAACAATACAGCCGAACTATTGCGTATTAGATGTGGTTTGGAGGCTACTATATGACATACCTTGAAGAGAGATAATAAGTCCCGGCTAAAGCTCTCATCTCGTCATGCGTCATCTCACCAGACCCATGCTTGCTCTCCCGACTCAAAGCCCACAGACTTGCAACTCTCGGTCGATCAAGTCTCATATCTGAGATGATGCTTGCTGCAAGTGACAGATGCTGGGTGTACTTCATTGTTCCTTGGTGGAAATGCGCCCTGAATCATTAGCGACGACTTTTGAGAAGACGTAGTACTCACCAAGCCAAATGCACCAACAGCCCTTGCAGCATATCCAAAGTTGCAAATGGCCCTTTTATCATCCTGACAAGTACAATTTCGTTGAAAAGCTTGCCTAATTTTTGCTGAAGCTTGAGATTCTCGTGTGAAGCTGCCGCAAGTATCGCAACACACAACGTCGGTCTGTCTTGAACCAACCCCTGAATGGTTACCGACTCTGCAACTATCACGAACGGAAAATGAGGCGACATGCGCATTCTGAAGGTATCGAGAAACTCTTGTCCTTTCTCGAATGACAGCAACCCCCTGGAGAACGGGTTGTGAGATGCTTCGGTATCAATGCTGGCTGGTGTCGTGGACACACCAGGTGAGGTATCCGTAACATTTGCTGAAGTCGCATTGGCCGAAGTCAAGGATGGTGACCTCGATCTTGTAGGACTCACAGCTTCAAGATTCCTAGACGGCCTGAATCAAGTTAGCAATTGCAAATCACAAAGAACAACAAATTTCTCACCCAGGCCTCAGAGCCTTTCGTCGCCGAGAAGGATTAAAAACACATGTCTTGTTCAGGCGCAAACACCTGTCGCATTTTCCAGACTCCTGTGATTTCTCGCATCGAATTTTGGCATGAAAACACGTCTGGCACGTCTTGAGCAACGGAACATTTGGGTCTGATCTCGAAGCCATTGTAAACACGGCTTGAACGATTTGTTTTGATGCTAGCGTTGATGAAATTGAATCATTAAACTTCTCAGCGGCGGGGAAAACGTCTCATTTAGATCCACGACTCATGGATCCTAGCTTATCCTTTTCATCGCATTGAAGTTACCTCAAAGGCGGATCTGATGATTTTCCTGCATTCACCGTGCCCGTAGGTCAAGATATCACCAGAGATCGAGTTCTTGTGGTTGAGAAGCGGACTTGAATCTTGAATGTGGCTGTGACACTGAAGCCAGAGATCGGACTCGGGTTTAGTTTCAGGGCACTTGCAGCGGAATTTTCTGTGTCGGTGTGGCGATGCAGGTTCAGTCCAGCGCTATATCTCGGCTTTGCAGGGTTGCATCGTCATCGTAAGAGCAACGGACTGTGGCTGGGTTCTGGTGCTCAAGTCCGTGTCCGTTCCAACACGGCACTTGAAGGAAAGGATTAATGACGGCTCGCACCGACGCACTCGTCATTGGTTTCGCTTCTGGGACGGTTTCAAGAAGATTATGCCGAATGGATTAGATCCAGGGACGAAGCCAAGCTTGCTTCTCCACATCAGCTAAAGCTTGTGTTTAAAGCAGCCTTGTAGGGCGGAATCAGACTTCAACGGTTCCCCGCCTGATAAAGCCACTGCCGCCCTCCTCGGGGCATTCAATTTGACTGGTGTAATCAGCGTCGCATCCTTCAATTAATTCGACGCTCCTGGTAGGCCGCCCTTAAAATTGAGGATCTCAGCCTGATTTCTATGGGGTCCTGAGATGAAAAGTGTCCGACAACTAGCAATTTCGGTGATTGAAACGGAGTTCGGACAGTCTTAACTCAGGACGAAGCTCTTGTTGGTCTGATCTTCTTTAGTGTTGGTGATTTAAATTTCTGGAAGGTGACTCAACAAATGATTCAGCAGATCATGTTGAGGTTTATGATAATGCAAGAGTTGAACTTTTCACAACTTTCAAAGGGTTGCCGATGCAACTTCCCAAACTTACACCACCATCGCAAGTACTTTGGTTTGCTGGCTGTGCCTTCCTTTCGTTCACTTTCAACCTGCATCTTTTAACATCGGCGATTAGGTAACTTCAAGTAACTCGACTTTGAATATTACATCTACGCTTCCAGTCTTAAACAACTTCGCAACAACTGTTGCACAATGAAGGCCCCATCTACACTGCTCAAGTCTCCAGCATCAACTCAGGACACGTTGTTTGTGTGAGTATTCAGAGCCCAATCTCCTCGACCTCACCAATCATCAACCTGACATCGACGCTGCCGATAAATTCGACATCAAAGGTGAGACATACTTTCGATCACTCCATCAATCACGGTTAACGTAGCGCTCAGAAAGGATGACTCTGTCAGTATCTTGATCAGAATCCCACAGGTCTGTCGCATACTGTCCGGGAATAATTTAGTGATTGATGCACAGTTTCTTCGACAGCCATCGAGTCATCCTTGAGGCAGTTGCTCATAGCCGTTTTGTGATGAAACATTGACAACGGCATTGTTGAACACTTCCAAAATAGATACAAAGACGTTGCAGACCCTTCGCATTGTATGTTTCTTCCACTTCTCGTTTCTTTCATGGTGCGGATTAAGGCTCAGTTAAAAAGAGTCACATCAGGCTGCACCTCACTGTGTGTTGGCTTCGCAGTCACCTGTATGACCAAAATGTGAGCCATCGCCCCAAGACTGGCACGCCATCAGCCAACAGCGTCTATCATTTCAAACCACCCTTGCTGCTTATGCCTCTCTTGGCGCATTTCCAGCTGCAATATGGCGTACAGCGGTCACACTTCGAACTTGATAGGCAATTGATCCGAGAGCCTGATCCCCTAAACCCGGCCAGTTGCGCTATCCAGCGAGGATCTACCAATCGCCCTCTGATACTTCGAGCAAGCCCCGCGTTATCTTGAGCCGCAGCCATCGGTAGAGCGAATATCTAGCAACCTGCCCTACATACCTGGCACAGTCCCGAACCATTCCCGAGGCAGACTATCTTCAGGCGGAAAGAAAAACGCCCAAGGCGAACCTGCGCAATACAGGACTGAGAAAACAAAGACTTGGTCACCAGAATCTAACCGCATTGCACGATCACCAATCGTTTGGTTGCCACCATGAAGCACAACTCTATTGTTGCATACAAGGTGCGGCTAGAAGATGTACGAAAGCACCTTCGGGCCAAGTTCAATGACCAGACCATTGAGGTCGAGGTATGTAGATCGGGTCACCGAGAGTGGCAGTGCTTTCGTGTACCAGAAGCTGATCCGTGGCTCCAGCATATAGGAACCGAGTTTGTGTTCTATCTTCCAGTGACCTTGACTGAAGTAGGTTGTCTTGTTGCATTTGTATATCTTGTGATGTCTCTCCCAACAGCTGACATCTGGAACAGGCTGAGAAAGACGAAATCTATGACCTAGCGCCATGAATCACGCAAATGGCTACAAAGACAGTCCTGATATATCTTTTTACAATACCCAATGTGAACCCTTGCCTTTACTTCTAGTTATTTACGCATATGAGTAATATTGAGTGTTTTGTTCGGGTTACATGAGGCAAGTTGTATGCGCCTTCGACTCAGCCACTTTATATGTCAGTACCCTACCTGGCCTCATACACATTGTCTATCTCTACCATCTTCATTCACACCATCCACAAGCATCACTGCCAACTGGCTTTTGTGCACAGTCAATATCAGGCACTCTTCATCAAATTTTGCCGTTGCATTTGATCTAGGCTATGCGAATCTTGGACCCCTGTTCTGTGGAATTGGAATTCTCTTCAAGGAAATAAAATAGCTTGGTCCCGAGTAATCTACGAAACCTTCAAGCACTAGTTCATTTATCAAATTGCCATATACTATCATGTCCTCCCAAAATAGTATCACTACTGTGGAGCTGTCCGAACAGGAACGTTACTTCGACAAGATATGCGATGCTTCTCACAACTACCCTCAAACTGCTCCTAGCAGCAGAAGGAGTACCAAAGCCCGGCAAGCCGTAGCTACTACGTGGGATCGAGAAGCAGCTCGTATCTTCCACCCGAGACCCGAAAATGCTTGTCTCAAGATCTTTGAAACGTGCGACTGCATGACTCCATGCAACTGTCAATCGCTCTCGGGTGATGTCAAGACCATGGAAGATCTATTACTTCGCTTACAGCCGAACAAGAAAGCCCCAAAGATGAGATACGTGTAAGTTCGCTGGTCTTTACTTGGGCACAGGATGTAACAAACTCAGGTCTCTCCTTTCCAAATCTTCCAAAGATCAAGTCAGATGTCCGATTAAGATGTTCAAATATCTATGCACATATCAACGAATCCCAGCTTCGTTCCTAAGCTGCCTCTACTCTTTCCGCCGGTCGCACTCTGCTCAAGAATGGTGTAACCTTCCTCAATTCAACGACGACAATACTTTGCTCTCGTCTGAGGATGATATCCTGCCTCTAAATCGAATGGGTCTCTCAGGGCGCGAAATTAGGTATTCGTTTGTCTTGAGATCCGTCGAGAGCTCCACCTCCGTCCCAAGCAGATCTTGGGGAGTCCGACAACTGGCAGTATATCATTCCTTTGACATTGAAAACGGGCAGTCACTTTGGGTAACCTGCAAGGGGAACTCGCTGAACGAAGAGCTATTCCAAGAAGCTTTGTCTGAGAATAAATTCCTTCAATCAAATGTTCTGGAATCTGTTCCACAGGCGTTCTCGTCTTCCCTTGAGGTTCTCACTATGCTGATTGATTGGTGCGATGATGATTGGATATTCTACATCAACGAACTTTTTGGTGGGATCAAACCACTTGTGGACAAAGCGAGAACGCCCGCCATAAAAGACGAGTCAGCCCTTACCAAAGACGTGAAAATCATCACAGGTTTGGCTGAATCGCCTTCGAAAAGGCTCTCGCATATGACGAGCCTCGAATCTGGGACGACCCGCAGTCAGAGCAATGGAAAAGGGGACCCGTGGGGTGATCTCAATGACCGAGTCAAACGACTCGAGAGGCTTGAAGTGTTTTCTTTTGACGAGCTACAGAAACTACAGCAAGGCCTGGAGGCGATCCAGGAAGCGCTCCTGGTTCTCAAGCTAAACAACCAAGTCATCAGACAGATCCGCGAGCACTACCAGTGTCTTATGACCCAGTATCGGCTTCCCACTTTGAGAGGGATCAAGAAGGGTTGCGAGGAGTCATTCTTTCAATATTGTCGGCACTCTCGAAATATTGAGGCCAATATCGATGCTCATCAGGCGCAGCTCAATGCGCTGCTACTGCTCGTCAAGGAGAGCAAATAAATGGTAATTCACTCTTCAACGCTGAGAGATCCAGGACTGATTTACTTAGTACAACACCATTCTCCAATACAAAACCATCCAGATCAACAAGATCTACGCAGAGAGCGCTCACTTGTCGACTCGGAATATGGAGAATATCGCAAACAAGACCAAGCGAGAGACGAGCTCAATGCATATCATCACTTTTGTGACTCTGATTTTCCTCCCTGGAACATTCATGGCTGTACGTCACTGTGTCCTTGGACATGTTGCAACAACTAATTATATTTGCAGTCTTTCTTCCAGAGCGGTATTCTTGAATGGCCTCAAGTGAACGCAAAGGCGCCATGGAGGCTAAACAAGGAGATATTTTCTCTATTTTTTGGCCTCTCCGCTACCATCACGATCGTCACCATTGTTGTTTGGATGATCATTCTTTTCATGCTGCGCAGGCCGCATAGCGAAAGAGTCAAACACGCATCTTAGAGTAACACAGCACAACCTCATTTCATTTCCTACCATTCTATTCCTATCTGTACTTTGTAGACAATAGATTTTCCGACACGAGTCAGGAGCTTGTAAACAAGATATATATCTCAGCGATTATACACAAAGCAGAATATGCCTGATGATGTCGATTCATGTCCATGCGTGGGATCATTTGATAAGCTGTAGCCTGGTTCCCCGCGCCGATGTGCATGTCACACCATCTCCTGTCTCACCCTCTTGTGAGGCTCTGCCATCTGGTCTCGAACAAGCCTCCTGATGATAGACTATATCTACCATGTTCCATCTCCGCCACTTTCAAGGTAAATATCCTCAGATCAGAGATCCACATCATACGAGAAGGCAGAAAAAGAGCGGCTTTGCTTTTAAGGCATCTGCAACACAGCCTACTTGGCCAGATGGTGGTGGGCATGATACAATGTTGCAGAGGAGAGCCTTGCTGCATATGCACGTCCTTGCTAACCAATCTGGAAAGATGATGACCCGAACTGGCAAGAATTGGAAAGTGCCTTGTTGGAGAAGATCGCGCATGCCTCTAATGCGAACCACTCTCCCGCGACCTTGAATAAATAACCGGAAAAGACCTCCACCACTTTTACCTTCCATCATCATCACCAGATTCCCCTCTTCTACATATCTAAATTATACACAATTGGATCCAAAAGATTGCTGTTTTCACTCTCACGCCGGACTCTTGTGGTCCTCGTTGGATAGCCGCCATGTCCAATCCCAGAAAACGCCCGCGCGACGAGCGCAATGAGGAGTTTATGCGATATGTTCAGAATGAATCGCATCCGGGACTCGACGGAAACGACATTCCGACCAAGTTCGTGAGCCCTGCAGTCACGGCCAGATGGTGGAAGAAAAGTGGCCAGCGAAGATTATCTCGAGCGATCGATCGCAACATCCACGCTCTTCCTACGACGATTGAGAATGGCTACTTGAACATCTTCTCCATTTTGGTGTACATCAGCAGGACATACCTCATCAACAACTTCACTTCCAATGGCTATCAGGACCAGCAACTCCCTTTACTCAATGCGCGATGTTTTGGTGACGACCCTGCACTTGTCGATGACATGAACGAGTTTTGCGAGAACCAGTGGATGTTCTGTCCTCTGATATTCTCGAGACATACCCCCATGGATAAGCGATACATCGATTCTCGGCAAATATTACCTATCGAAACAACTTCCACGATAACCACTGATTCGAATTACTCCAAATCAAGTATCAGAGTTGTGACCTTGTACCCTGAATGCTTCGATCGCGAATGGAGTCCAACGGTAAGTTCCCTCCTCCGCACCTCCATTCCAACTAACGTTAGCAGGGTACTGTCGTGTTGAAAGAGTACCGCACACGAGAAAGAGAATCTTTGCGAGATGCATGGATAAAGGAATACAATGCTTTCGCCGCGATCGAGTCTTGCGATTACATTGTTAAATATCTTGGCTCATTTGAACAGAATAATCGCTGTTTTATGATCCTGGAGCATGCGAGTGAAGGTAGCCTGCTCGAATTATTCAAGCGCAACGAACGACCGGTCACCGAAGAAGACCGGCGATATTTCTTATATGGCTTGATGGGTCTCACCAAGGCCATCGACAGGATACAAAACCTGGGAGGCGGCCCTAGGAATCAGCGAACAGGATTGTACGTGACACTCCCAGTTTTCTTCATTGTTACTAATGTTGTAGCTCTCACCGTGATATCAAGCCTGCCAATATCTTGGTATTCCCTGGTCAAGATGGGCGGTACTCGTATGGCTTCCGGATGAAGCTTGCTGATTTCGACACTGCAACACCCAATCGACCAATAGATGAGGATGAATCCAGTTTCCAGGACAATGACGGAAACAGGACATATTGTAACTACTCTCATCTTGCAGTATTGGGTTGCGTTAACAAATTACAACAGGCTCTCCCGAAGCAACCAGGCTCTACAGGGACCAGGAGAATGGTTTTATGCAGGTTCCAGTAGCCTCCGATGTCTGGTCACTTGGTTGTGTCATCAGCGAAGCAATCGTCTGGGTTGCTGGAGGTACGGCTGCCCTCGATGAAGCTGCCAGCGATCGCAGGAGGGAAATCCTGACACATTGGCCACTTCTTGCCGATGGCAGCTTTGGTGAATGTTTCCATAACAGTTCCACAGCGCTTACTTGTGTTGTGAAGTCACATTCAGCGGCGCTCGATGCGCTACAAGGTCCCATTTTCCTCTCACGGAATGTCTGCAGCCTCGTCGAGCGTTGGATGCTTGTGCCATATGGAGAAAGACAATCCCCCATCCTTATCTGGAAAACCTTTGAGAGAAATTACCGGGAAATCTTTGACCCTGCTCCCCCCTTAGGCCATCATAGCGCGCCTCTCTTGCCTCAACCCGGCTTCCATAACACCCCGATACTCACTCAGTCACCCATGAACATGGCCGAGTCATTGTTTCAGCCAGATCGATCTCCTCACCAACGGACGTCCTTCCATTCGGGATCTTCGCGCCAGAACGGTATGGCGTTGGAACGCTCAGACATGCACCAGCGAGACCCTCTTGGCGTCAATACTCAAATACCTTCGAATAACGGAGCCCCAATCGATCGCCACACATCAGCTCAATGGAGTCACAATGGTTTTCAGGCTATGTCTGAGCTGGAAGACAAATCTTCCCCTGCGTCAGCGGTATCTACCAAGTACTTCAACCTTGGAAACGCGTTGGGCTCTCCAACGCATCCTGACATCTCATTTCCTGCTCAAGGTAATCATCACCATTCGATTCCCGACGCCAACAGCCCTGCCCAGACATCTGCCGACAGCACCAGACTCACTCCTCAGAAACAAGAAGTGGGCATGTATGGGGACCTTACTATTGACCATGTTGTCAGTCACCGTAAGAACAATGGTAAAAGGGAATCATTGGAGGGCTACGAAAAGTTTCGCAATCGGATGGGAAATCGGCGGTTTGTCTTTATAATAGACGATTCTGAGACGATGCGTGATAGGGAGCGCGAAGTACTCAAAGTATTGGATGTTTTGGTATGGCTCGTTAGGAAGATCGACCATTCTGGTCCAGAAATCCGCTTCACTTCAAAACCAGACAAGAGAATTCCGATAGAACGTCGCCCTCGATTTCTTCTCAAGATGGACAAATTCATCAACCCAGTGCGAGAATGGCTTGGTGGCAACGACGCCGAGACTCTCTGCAATATGAAGCACTCATTCAACCAGATATTCTCAGATGCTAATATGGTGGATCCGAAACGACCAACAAGCATTGTTATCTTGACCGATGGAATATGGGAGCACGGTGGTTCTCTCGAAGAGAAAGGTGTTGAGGCCTGCATAACGAAGATTATCAAGCGAATGGAAGATAAAGGCATCGGCGACACCGCTTTCGCCTTTCAGTTCGTCAGCTTTGGTAATGATCCAGTTGGTCTTCGCCGGCTGAGATATCTGGACGACGATGCCCTCTATGGAGGGGATGAGGATAACCGGACGTAAGTTCTTGTCACGGCGTGAAAGATCGAGGCTGACTCTTGCAGTGATATTGTTGACCATAAGAGCTCTGAATCGAATGTCTGGGCAATCCTCACGGGGTCGGTGAGTCCAGGTAACGATAAGATCTCGGCGAGTCCGTCAATCGAGAGGCCATCGTATTCTCGGGGAGAATAAGCGATAATTTATATGATATGCGAGTCTTGGAGACATCGGCGTTATATGATGAACATTTACAATGTGGCATTAGACTTGGTTTATATAAATACCCATATACCGCAGCTTACTCTTGGAATTTAGGATCAGTGTCCTTGAATCGGTTTTATACAATGTTGTTGAGATGATAGACGAAACAAGCTATACTTGTACAGTTCTAGCGCATTCTCATGTTTCCCTTCCTGGCTTTTAGACAGTTTGGGATTGGATGATGCCGTTAGCTTCGCTTGGTTGGAGTGTTACCCTATGCCTTGGGTGATCAACACTTTGATGAAGAGATTGCATATTGAGGGGAGACAAGAAAACTAAAGATCTTTGACCTAAGTAATGAGAAGATTTTGGCACCCTGGTTTTGTGTCAGAGGGTTCGTTTTCCCTCAAAGAATTCGTATAGTGACCCTTGGGAACGATGGAAAGCTAATCATCTGAATATGATCCGATATTATGGAACAATTTTGGAAATTATATGCTTATTATTCTGGTGATACTCATTTGTATCCTACCAAACAAGTAAAATTTTTGCCAGAAGATCGTTGCAGCGAAAAGGACAAGATTGAAAGTTCAAATTAATGCCAGATATCAAAAGAAGCGGCCTCTAGAGCACACGCAGAGTAGACTTGTCTCAGGTGAACAAAGTTTTAATGACTTCCACGAATCCCTCCGGTGACAAAGGATGAGCAAGAAAGTAATATTTAGCGACTGTCCAGTGAACTTAAGAAGAGCTTAAAACGGTTAATTTAATGCCTCGATTTATGAATAGTTATGTGAAATGAATGCAGCTCGTCTCCGCGACAACAAGTGAGCAATATTGACATGATCCCCTCGAGCTTCGCCAATGACATAGCATAGAATTTCCTACTATATTGACGGACAATGGCCTCATAATTGTAACATAGAGTGTTGATTTCTATCAGATGAGATGTTGGAGTCACCGGGCTGCTATGTTGCAGTAAGGCCTCGGTGTCTCAAGTCGTTTTTCGGCGGCCCAGTCTTGGTCGAGGACGATACGGTCGTGCATATACGGCCTGCAAAAAAGTTTCTCTGTTTAGTTTTATACCCCTCGGCCATTATTCGAGATACTGTGTTCTCAGTGTCGTGTCAAACCACACAGTGCTACATAAGAATGAAACTGACCTACACATCAGCACCTGGCTTCACCAAGTGCTTGCTTATGTGGCATTGACCAAGCGACACAGCCCTGAGGTTTTATACAAGCTAGTTACAGCTCATGGTATTGAGGTTATGAAGTATTGTCAATTGCGCTCTCTCTAAGCACATCTACAACATCTCTGATGTTGGGTCATGCAGAATACAGCAGATTTGATAGGCTCGTTCCATGCATACAGTATCACCAAGATCTCGTCAAACTTCACAGTAACTCGCACAATATAAGAAATAAAATTACTTAAAACCAAGCAAACATACAATTATTACCCCAGTCTACCAAAAGAATTACAGCAGTTGGAACACTAGCCAAGACGTTTCATCCGCTGACCATATCCGGGGACGGGCGCTAAACCCCAAAAGACCCAAGCGCCAAAAGCTAAGGCAAGCTACCTCCCATCACCTCCCCTCCACCCCAACTTTCCAACCCTCCATCATCACCAACACCAACAACCTGACTCACATCATGGCCTCCTACATCGACACCTCCCTCGCCGAGGCCCAGCCCGCCCCCGAGCTCCTCGGCGAAGTCAAGAAGCCCAAGAAGAAAAAGGTGCTGCTCATGGGAAAGTCCGGCTCCGGCAAGTCGAGCATGAGGAGCATTATCTTTAGCAACTACATTGCCCGCGATACACGAAGACTGTACGTCTCCCCCTTACCTTGATCTGGGAGTTGGAGCTGATTATGTAGGGGCGCAACTATCGATATCGATCTTTCGCACGTCAAGTTCCTCGGAAACCTCACCCTCAACCTCTGGGACTGCGGTGGTCAAGAGGCCTTTATGGAGAACTATCTCTCGCAACAGCGCGTCCACGTCTTTTCCAACGTCGGTGTGCTGATCTACGTCTTCGACATTGAATCCCGCGACGTCGACCGCGATCTCGCAACCTACGTCTCCATCCTCTCCGCTTTACTTCAATACTCTCCCGCCGCAAAGATCTACATCCTCATTCACAAGATGGATCTCGTCGTCCCTACAGCACGTGAGTCCGTTTACGACGAGCGCATTCGGGTTGTGCGACAGAAGACCTTTGAGTATGCAAATTCAGTCGGTATTGCTGCGTCGTCGATTGAGCTTACGCCGTTTGCGACGTCGATTTGGGATCAGAGCTTGTATAAAGCGTGGGCGTCGATTATTCACGACCTTGTACCTAACCTCTCCGTCATTGAGCGAAATCTCGCAAACCTGGGTCTCGCCATCGAAGCTGAAGAGTTGCTGCTGTTCGAGCGCACTTCGTTCCTTGCCGTATCATCCTGGACATCATCTGAAGGACAGCGAAACCCGACCGAGGATCGACTAGAGCGCATGTCCAACATCATGAAGCATTTCAAGCAGAGTATTTCGCGCTTCACCGGTACGCCGCGGAACGCTGAGCAGTTCATTCGCATGGAGCACAAGGCCGGCAATCGATTCAGTCTGTTTATCCTCAAGTTCACGACAAACACGTATCTCATGGTTGTTCTTCCACCCGGAGAAGCTCGATTCAACGCTGCCATGCTCAATTGTCAGATCGCTATTGAGCACTTCAGATTTCTGGATGGCCCCGCAACTCCAGCTCCCAACACCGCCACTGCTGCCGCCTAAACTGACAAGACCACATAGATCGGAGTTATCACGGCGTATGGCTTGTTATTTGGCGTTAGGCGTTGAGATACCACTCTAGGTGATATTTTTGAGTATCAATTTCATATATGCATACATGGCTCATTTACAATTCATTTCGCATTTTAACTATCTGTGATTCTATCCATGACCTCTATAAGTCAATGCTAGCATCCGCATTTGTTGACCAGTCCGTAAATCAACCTCAACGCCGATTTTTCCATTTCTAAGTCCACTTGACAACGGCGGTACCGCCCTTCTTGAATTCGGGCATCTCGCCAAGAACCAAACTGCGGTCAGTGTGATCCTTGTTGGGGAATGTCGTGGAAAGAACCCATGATCGAGATCGTGTGTCTGGGGACGCTCCCTGCACGAAACCGTAGACATCGTCGATAGTGTGGGTGGTGTTGAAACGAGCGGGTAGGCGTGTGCCATCGGGTATCTGGATTCGGATCATGATTGTGGGCTGAGCATCATCGACGGTGGGAGCATTGGAGGACGAGGGAGCAGCGGAAGAAGCAGCGGGGGCAGGAGAAGAGCTTGAACCCTCGACACCAGGGACAACAGCTCCAAGTCGCTGGCCAGAGCCACCGAAAGGTCTGTACTTCTTGGGCTGAGGCTGGTATGGTGTGTCGTGCTGGTGAAGCTTGACATCGATGGGCTGGTCATGCTGTACATTCATGAGGTGAAGAGGTGCGCGACCAGCTCGGATCAGGGCGAGGTCGGCCTGGTTTGCGGGATCGTCAAATCGGCGAAGGTCACCGTCGTCGATGCTGAAGCCATCTTGCCAGATGTGAAGGACTCGTTCTTGAGGTTCAGCGTTTGAAGAGCGAGCTGGGCCGAGAGGATCAGGAATGCTGCGGCTCTCGACACCGTCTCCCCCGAGTGTCTGTCCAGTTCCTCGGAAGCGACTAGGCTCGGAAGGGCCAGCCTCGTTCTCGGCCTCGGGACGTTGAGCGTTGCTAATTTGTCAGTTAAATTCACCTTCACATGCTCAGGGACTTACGCTCGAGCCTTGGCGAGAATATCGCTGATGATCTTCTTGGGACCGCCCTCCTGGTGCGGATCCTGAACAGCCAAACCAGACTTCTCACCACCAGCAAACAGGTTTCCTCGTCCATCATCGTCTTCGCCGTCGAAATCATCATCGTCGTCATCACCGTGGTCGTGTTGATGGGATGAGCTACCGAGAGATCCTAGAGTAGCAATCCCCCTCTTCCTCTGTTGTGATGCGGCAGGTTTGCGAGCTGGTTGGGTGCTGCGGGCAGCCTCTGGAGCTGGTCGACCGTCGAGGGTTCGAGGGCCCGTGTAATTGTCAGGAGCGGCAGCAGGAGCTGTGGATGTGTCGCGGTTGTCATCTTCGGCATCACGGAACCAAGCATTGCTGGCCTCGGCGAGGTCCCAGTTGTGGGCTTCGAGATACTGTCTGGCCTTGGGCGCGTTAGCTGGAGTATCCAGTGCGAGTCAGAGAGATGCGAACCTCTTCAGGGCTTGCGCCGCTCAGGCCTGCAAACTCCACGATCTGGGCGTCGTGGTCTGCCATGTTAACGATTGAAGGCGGGGTAGTTGAAATAAGTGCTGATGTTTTCAGATGTCGCAGAATTATGAGGAGCGTTGGTAGATTTGGAGGTGATTGAGTCAAGATAAAAAGACACGTCAATCTCAAAGTGTGTTTGGTGATGAATGAAGGTTCCAGCAACAGGCAGGCAGCTTGCTCGTCACCTCTAAGCAAAGGAAGCTCTGGGTTGGTGGCGGTGGGCTCCTTCACCCCACCTTCCTCGACTGGGCCATGACACAAGTGGGGACCCACTCACCACTTCAACCTGCGGAAGTCAGGTCCATCTCTGCCCCGGTCCTGCAGCCTTACGTAAGGATCTGGGGGAATCAAGCGCGACGGTCGAGAAGCCGAGATCGTCAACAACCTCTTCAGAAGCTAGCTCAAGCCGACAACGACCAGCAATCGAGCTTCATATTATTTACTCCTTTATCTTTATCCGAACCTGCGCTCACATCTCGAAGCCTGCCATGTCCGACGAACACAACCACCTCGCCGAGTCCGGCGTGACATTGCACTCCGACAGCGAACTATACTCTGCAGGCGATGATCTCTCGTCACCTCCCTCGTCAAACTCACCTGTCATTCTTTACAAGCCCCCTACAGTGTGGTCTTTGATACGGGGAGCTGCTATCAACCTCCTACTACCTTTTGTCAACGGCATGATGCTTGGATTCGGAGAGCTCTTTGCTCATGAAGCTGCTTTTAGGCTGGGATGGGGAGGCACAAAGGTATATCATACTGCGCAGTTATGCTCAAAGCTATCAACCTTTGCTGACAAATCCAGGTCTTCCCCCTCTCGCGCAGAAGAGTTCACCCTATCGGACCTGGTATCGAGCTTCGAGAAAAGCCATATGCTCCTCGCCCTTCGCTGGACGATTTTGCAAGCCTGGAGTAAAATGTCGGAATTCCTTCACCTTACGGATTCTTATCCATCACATCCAAGACGTACTCATCGCTATGAATGATCTACGAAAGAGCAAGGACGGATGAATGCATATCATGTTAAATAATTTGAGATTATATATTAGACAGGAACATGGATTGTGGCGTTTCGTTGCACCGGTGGTTCAAAATGTAAAAATCACTCAATCGAACGCAGCGACGTCAATTACAACCACTCGACTCAATCTCACAACTCTAATCACTCCCAATCGACTCGTCACAGGCCGAGGCCTAATGACAAGGTCATTCGGAGATCATCGGCGACGGACTATCGCGAACCCGACATTTCCCCGCCGGTCCCGGAAAACCTCCAAAAAATTCCCAGCAACATCGCGCAACTTATTGTCCGACCCATCCCACTTCATCACCGCCGCAATGCTTCCCAGCCGAGGAATTGTGCGCTCTTTGCCTTCGGGCGCTTTCCAGAGGCCATGTGGTCATTCTGTGTGTTTATCTCTGACCAATCCATCGACTGCACTAACAATTGTAGATGTCAAGGACCCTGGGTAGAAAATTCGGTGCTCGACAGTTCGGCACAGCGATGAAGAGCGCTCGCACACCACTCACGGCTGGGACAAGAGTCGGTGTCAGGAACATTGCTGCGCCTATTGCTTTGGGGGGTATTGCTTCTTCAAGGCAGCTCTCGCTATGGGGTTACAACATCTATGGAAAGAAGAAGACAGAGGAGCCAGCTGTTGAAGCCGTCACAACGCCAGAAGCTCCCACTCCTCCCGAGACTATCGATCCTACACCCATCAACGAAGCTCCCGCCCCTGCCGCCGATAAGTTCGCAGATGTGACACAGTCTGCTGAACCATCTTCCGTTCTGCCCTCCGAATTCGACCTCGAAAGCATTGCCGACCTCGCCAACCCCAGCATTCTCACCATGCCCGAGAACATTGGCTTCCTGAAGGAGATTGGCCTCGATTACGGCTGGGGCCCTACATCCGTTATGCAATGGGTTCTGGAGCACGTCCATGTCTACACCGGTCTGGGATGGGGCGGCTCGATTGTCGCAACTGCCCTCTTATTACGTGTCATCATGATCTACCCTCAACTTCGCAGTGTCAAGTTCAGCGCTGCCACGGCCAAGATGAAGTCTGATCCTCGATCAGTGGAAAGTCTGGAGCTTTTGAAGAAGGGCTACCAGACAGGTGATCGGGAGATGATTCAAAAGGGACAGTTTATCGGCAATATGGTCCGAAAGGAATACGGCACCGAGATCAAGAACATGTTCTGGGCTTTTGTCCAGGTTCCCTTCAGTTTCGGTCTCTTCCGAGTCATCAACGGCATGATTCACATCCCAGTTCCCTCTATGGAGAACGCTGGCTGGGCCTGGTTCGCCGACCTTACGGCTGCCGATCCCTTTTACGCCCTTCCTATCGCTGGTACTGTTCTCCTGGTCGGCACTTTGAAGGTAAGATTTCCAGGCTCTATATGAGATTCTATCTAACATCAATCTAGCTCAACTCTAAATACACGCCCCCTGAGCAAAAGGCCATGATGCAGAACATGGTCTACGTCATGAGTGCAGTTACTCTAGTTGCCACAAGCTTCCTGGGCGCTGGTGTCAACCTCATGATGGTTTCCACTGGAGCCGCCACCTTCGTCACAGCCGCCATTCTCAACAACGAGTCCGTCCGTCGTGCTCTCGATCTTCCCATCCCCAAGATTGTGGAGCCCGTCTACAAGCCTCCCCGCGTCACTCAGGCCAAGGGTTTTGAGGGCATTCGTGAGCGTCTCACCGATAACCTTGACAACATGAAGAAGAGTGTTTCCGACTCAGTCGGCAACATGACGAATCAGTACAGCGGTACTGCCGAGGAGCGAGCTGAGAAGGCGAGAAAGGAGCAGATTCAGAAGCTCGAGAACATGAGACGAAAGTTGGAGCGTGATGAGTTTGAGAAGAAGTACAAGCGATGAGCAACTGTATCACAAATAACTGTAAAATAAGGATAAACTTGTACACTGTTTCAATTGGATCAGGCATTGTATAATAGGCATTGGCGGGGAGCGACATGATACCGCGGGGTCTTTTGCATGACTGGATATAAAAGTGTCTGCATGTATCTATCGATGGTCGAGTATTGATGTAATAGAACAACCATCCCAATAAATTCTGTTCAAAGACAACTCAACTCAATGAATTAAGCGGTAAACGCCTTGAACGACTCGACTTGGCTTGTGTCTCGATTATAAACTAGGCAAACCCCCTGCCAAGGATTTCTTTTCCACCCTGGCACTCTCCCTTTTGCCCATTCCATTTCAATTCATCTCATCTTGCTGTGTCTGTAATAAAATAAAGCCCACCACCTTTTTCTTGCCATTTTCGCATACGGCAAAAAGAAAAAAAAAAAACAGATCTTCTGGTTTTAATTGGAATAAATGCTTTGAATGCTTTCGAAGTGAGTTTAAAAAAAGAAACTATAAGCTTCACGCTCTATTTCCTCCCCCTCGAGTTTCCCGTAATGTTCATTTCAGTTAATACATCCAAGAAGGGCATATGTTGATTAAAACAGCGCCTTTTGTTTAGAATACGGTGCCGTCGCTCTCGATAAGGATCGGGGGCTCCTTGGTATTAGGTCTGTTGATCTCGGCAATCTCGCGGCCGCCCTGGAATGAGTTAGTACTGTTTCGGGGGATGTTGTTTGGTGGAATAAGACTTACCCTCCAGCTACCAGCCTCTAGCAACTGTGCCAAAGTCAATTCATTTCCGCCCAGCTCTGGCTTCAGTGTCTTGTTGACCTCGACGCACAGCATATCGAGGAAACCGACTGTGACACCTCTCCACTCAACGATGACATCGTCACTGGGCTCAAACATGGGTGCTACCTCGACACCCTTGGCGCCTGTCCGTTGCACCCATTCGTTGTAGTTCTGAAGACCCCTCTCCAAATCATCCTTCCTCAAGTTCAAGACACCCATATCGACGAAGAGACCACCGTTTCGGTACTCGGGCAGACCAGTGAGCAATTCTGTTCCGGCAAAGTGCATCTTGAGGAGTTGTTGCATCGGTTGCATGAGCGAGTAGGTGAGCCATTGGGTGAGCTTGTGGAAAGGAAGAATAGACTCCCAAGCAGCGGCGTTTGAGCTGTTGGGGAAAGCGGAAACTTTGGGAGATGCGCCAGGTTGAGGCATAGCCTGGCAGGGCCAGGCGTCACCGAGAGAGACACCGTTGATCGCAGTTCGGTTTGCGGGCCAGATGGGAGCGAGACCGGTCATTAGGACGTTCCACAGTACGGGCAGGGGGACGATAAGCATAGACGAAGCCTGTGTTGAGGGGTGGCCGAGGAGATGGTCTAAAAAAGATTAGCTTTGTCGCGGGAGACCGTTAAAGTTACATACCGATTAAGCATCCAGGGCGACCCTCAAAGCCCCAGAAATCGTCCTTAGCGGCTAAAGCTTCTCCAAGGCGGACCAGAAGATCGGTGCGACCCTGAATACCAGCCATTTCATTGCCGGGTTTTGATTGAAGACCAGCCGCGAGCTTCTCGACGGTGAGATTCTTGAGGCCATCCTTGTCGACCTGGAATTTGTTGTTCGGGTTTCCAGAAAACAATCCCTGCCGATATTAGCATCTTGTAATGTGACAGAAAAGCTGTACTTACAGTCTTGAACATCTCCAAGCTGGCAACTGCGATACCCTCTGATCTTCTGTACACGCGACCATTTTCATTGCTCTTGTATTGCCAGGAAGTGCCAGCGCCCGCATCTAGAAGCACGCTGACTAGGAAAAGGTCGATCAAACGTCGGCATCGCTCTGTGTTATCCACATTGGTGGGCCAGGTGGAAAGAAGCTGGGCAATGCGATCTCGACCTCCGACAGCAAAGTGCTGGTATCTACCATGGCCGGGAATGCTGAGGAAGGGGGCATCATAGTCTCGCTACAAGCTGTTAGCTAGAAAATTGGCGATTTTCGTGGCCACTCACCTTGATAATTCCTGTAACAAAAGTAACCACGTCGGGAAACTTGCCCATATCCACATCGAAATGCTTCAACTCATTGCGCAGCGCCTTGTCAGTGACAATCTTGCTTCGCTCTC